TGATCTTGACTGTGCTTCTCCCCAGGACCTGAGGCCACAAGATTTATGTCTCCTTCTGCTAGATGTTCAGGGATACAAAACCATTGTACCCTAAATCACAGCTTGAGGTTTCTTGAACTCTCCAGGGATGCAAATTTGGGCTGCAAATACGAGAGGGAACTAACCCATGACCGTGACCTCTCAAGAGATGGATCTTTCTGTTTTCTTCCCTGTTCTACTTATGGCCATTTCATTTCTTGGGAGTGGGAGAAAGTGGAAGAATTTACTTCTCCTTGATTTTTGTTCTAAGGGGTGTAACTTTCTCTGTTTTGCAAGGTAGTTTTGGAAAATTTTTCCTATAATTCTTCCTCTAGTGAGGCTCACAGCTCAAGTGTACCCTGACATCAGTGAAATCATCAAACAGGAGCTGTAATTTGCATGCAAAGCATTCGTAGCTTCCTGTACGTCCTTCTTTCTCAGATCTCATTTTCTTTTAATTCTGAATTAGTAAATTCTTTGCTGTCTTAGCAGAATTATTATTATTATTATTATTTGGTACTGGAGATTGAATCAAGGGGTTGCTGAGCCACATCCCTAGCTCTTTTTATTTATTTGTTTTTAAATTTCAAGTTGCTTAGGGCCTGGCTAAGTTGCTGAGGCTGGCTTTGAACTTTTGATCCACCTGTCTGATACTCCACTGGGGATTACAGGCGTGAGCCAGGGTGCCCAGCTCTTGGCAGCATTTTAATTATCTTAAGAAGATTCTTTGAAATGTTTATTCCAGAATCAAACTTTTTTTCTCATTGGGAAATTTTGTCCAACTCACTCAAGTCTGCCATGTTCTTAAAATGGAAATCTCTGTTGAAGATGGGGCCTGGGAGCCTCTCCCCAAGCCTGAGCCTGTCCCCTGCCAACACTCTCCCTCCAGGACAGGCTGGATATATGGTGTATAAGTCCATCCCCTACGGCTGCCTGAAGGAGGTGATCCCCTACCTGATTCGGAGGGCCCAGGAGAACCGCAGTGTGCTGCAGGGTGCCCGAAGGGAGCAGGCATTGCTCAGCCGAGAACTGTGGCAGAGGCTGCTGGGGAGAAGCAGAAGGCTACCCCATTAGCACCCCCAAGGGTTGTGTGTTCAATAAAGATTCTGAGCTACTGCCCAGGCTGCTGTCCTGCACTGATGCTGCTTTTTTGTGGAAGGGTTCATCTCAATTTTAACCAACCCAAGCGAAGGAGATGTGGGGCTCAAGAGAGATTCTTTAAATGGCCCCAGCACATACCAAGGACATCGTTCAAGCACTAATGAAACGTCCCCCTCAACTCTGAGATCTCCCATCTTGGAATAAACCTGGGCAGTAACTGATGTGGGAGCTTCGTTCATCTCAGTGAATACCCAAAAGAGGAGCATGGAGGAAGAGTGCACGCTGAGGCACTGACGATGAAAGGTTGGGCCAAGGTCACATGGCCAGGGACGAACAGAGCACCTTCCCAGTTAATAAACACTGGGCTCTTTTTGAGCTAGGTTCTGAGGTGAGTAAGGCTGGTGACATAACAGTGACAAAGAGGATCCTGGGCCCTGCATCACAGGGCCAGGAGGTGTAGACAGACCCACTTCAGACAGTGATAACCCAGAGTGGTCAGGGCTATGTTGGGGTAGCACGGCGGCTGTGGGGAGCCAGAGCAGGCACCTGACCCAAGCTGAGGATGATCAAGAGACCATCCCCCAAAATTCATAAGAATCATCACGAAGATTGAGAGGAGCACTCAAAGCAAGGACATGTGCAAAACACAAGTCTGGCATGGATTGGGGGGTGGGGAGGGAGGCAAGGATAGAGGGGTGGGATAATACCGTCTCACAGGCCAGACTGTAGAGCTTAACCTCTGTCCCAGGGGAACTGGGGAATCAGAAGGGGTTCAGACAGGAGAGAAACAGGGTCAGTTTGGGCTGTAGGAGACCCCCCTGGCTGCCATGTGGAGAATGGAGTAGAAAGTGATATCAGGCTGGGAGCCTGAGAGGCTGGAGCAGGGCAGGGAGGGGAGGAGGAGACAGGTCAGGGGACATGAGGCTGAGGGCCAAATGGGAGGGAGATGGCCAGGGTGAAGTTCAGGGCTCTGACTTGGAAAAGGGGGTCAGTGAGGCCAACCCTGAGATGGAAATACAGGAGAAAACAGTTTGGGGAGAATTCTGAGGCCACTGTGGGTCCTGGGGTGTGTGATGGTCCCAGCGGATGTCCAAGGGGAGATGCCCTGTGTCTCCCTCAGAAATAGGGTGCAGGGAAAAGGCTAAAGAATCCACGGAGGTGTGTGAGGAGCACGGCAAGACGGCCAAGGAATCTACACAGGGTCAGGAAGGGCCTGCTGCCCCGCAAAAGTTCTTAAAGGGGGGAACATGCAGAGCTCAGATGAAAGGGCTGCGTGCGCCCTTTTGCGGGAGGGAAGCTTCTGCGCAAGAGTAACAGGAGCCGCTGGTGCACGTGCGCCTAGATTCCCAACCAGACAGCCATAGTGCGCTGCGGTCACGGTCACGTGGTGGTCACGTGATGTCCACTATAGGGCCCAACGGTAGGTGCAAAGCCACCTGGATTGGGGTCCAGGCCTAGAACTTTTTCAAGCTTCAGGCCCCTCAGTTCTCCCCCAGCCCCTCCCCCAGGCCTCAGACCCCGCCCCAGGCTCCTCCCCCAGGCCTCAGACTCCGCCCCCGGCCCCCTCCCTTCACTAGTCCCTTCACTAGTCCCGCAGCTTGGCCACTCTTACGATTCCTCCTCCCGCCGCACTCAGGCGCCACCTGGCCCTCCTCAGGCGCCACCTGGCCCTCGCCCGGGCGGGTAGACCACTCCGCCTCTTCCTCCACCGCTGGCCTCTTCCTCCAACCTGCAAGTTCAGAGCCGCCTCCTAAGCCCTCAGACGCTCTTCCAGACTCTGTCACCTTTGCCACGCCCTTCCCCAGCCCCCAGCTCCTCTCCCAGCCTTTATGCTGCCCTCGGGCTTTGATCCTCAGGCCCCCTTACAGCTGACCTTCTGTTGTGGACCACGCTTCCACCCCTATCAAACCCTCCCAAGTCCCCTTCCCACCCGGCCAGTTCTGACTTTATTGCTTTATTGCCCCCAGAGGTGCGGTCCTTCACCTCCTTCTGCCCTCATGAGACCCCCTAGCTGACCCCCGCCCGGGAACTGAGTCCACAGCCCACAGATGCCCTCGCTGCCCTCACGCTTCCCAGTGGAACTGGGCTCCGTGCGGGATCCAGATGCCCAGGTGGGCCGTCTGCATCGTCTGGCCGTGGCCGGGGGCCCAAGCTGGGGTCTGGCCAGGCTCCTGCGGAGAGGTGAGGACCTGGCTGCTGGGAGGCCTGCGGGACAGGACCAAGGGGCGTGGGGTGGGGTGGGTGGGTGTGGAAGGTACAGCTTCAGTTGGCCAGTGAGCAGCTGTATACACCGGCATCTACTGTGCGCCAGACTCAGAAGTCTGAGAAGGGGATTTTAGGGCGAATCTAACTTCTGAATCATTGAGAATGAAATCTGATAGTGGCCTTATAAGAGGAATGAGGATGAGACACATCGGAAAAGTGGCTTTTCAGATGGAGTGAAACTTTAATCCTGCGGTATAGGAGCCAATCATGCAAGAGAGAGACAGACAGACAGACCCCGACCCCCTTGGAAGCTGAATGGCCTATGCAAAGGCACTGAAATCAAAGCAAACTGGGCATGTGTGTATCATGGACTCAGGTCCAGATAGTAAAGGGATTCAGAATGTGTGTGAATTTTGTAGGATTTTGTTCTCAGTGGGATGGAAAACCATTGGAATTGTAAGCAGGAAATTAACATCACAATGAGCATTAAAAATTTACAATTTCTGCTTTCATTGATTTTTGTTAAGTTCTGGCCTATTTCTGAACTTGCTTAGTTGTTGTAATTGTTGATTCTTTTATTTTTCTTAATTTTTATTTTAAGAATGTTTATGATTTGTTGGCTGAAAATGGTTAAGGTTTGGTCTTTGCCCTTCAATATTTGAACTCTTAAGTTTCTTTTTCTTCTCTTGAGTATTAACCAGAACTCCCAAACCATGTTGTTGGCAGACATAGTTTTCCTTCTTCTTTTTTCCTCCTTTTAATTAGTGCATTATAGTTATACATAATAGGAGGGTTCATTTTGTCAGAATCGTACATGCATGGAATTTGATTTACTCCATTTCAGTTTCTGGTCCCCCACCTTTTCCTTCCCTTCTTTATCCTTGTTCTTGATATTAAAGGGATTGAGTCTCTGTTTCTGTTTTATCATGCTTGCTATTGGCTTACAATTCTTATCAAGTAAGGGAGTTCCCGTCTATTTTCTGAGGTTCTCTTCCTTCAATTATAAGTTGATATTAACTTATATCAAGTAACTTTTTTATCTACTTAAATATGTGATGTTTGTCCTTTAATCCATGAATCCATTTTATTACGTGGATAGCTATTCTTGGGTTGAATAATCCTTGCTTTCTAGAGATAAAGCAATTTTATTTTATTTAGTGTTTTTGCATACATGATCACAAGCAGAACTGATAATATAATTGTATTTTCTGGTTCTGGAAACTCTCATCTGGTTTGGAATTCAGGTCAGATTGGCCTCAGAAAGTGAGCCTTACCATCCTTTTAATTTTTATTGTTTTGGAACAACTTGTGTAAGATTATCTAGTTCTTAAATGATTTGTATTTAAAGAAGATGCCTTTGTGTTGCATGATGAGTGCAAAAACCAATTAGAAGACCATTGCAAAAGATGGGCTTGAGTAAAACATGGTGCAGTGAATGTGGTATTCAGAGATTCTGGAAGGTCTACATTTGATGGGTTTTGAGGTAGAGAGCCAGCCGGGGTGGACCAAGTGCATGATTGATTGACTGTTTCTGCCGAGGACACAGGGATACAAAGACAAGGACACCATGCATTGGCCCTCCTTGGTGCAGGACCTGGAGAAAGAGGAGCTCGGGAATCATGGGGAGGGGCATAGATACAAAGCATGGAGCAGAGGGTGAGTGAATGGGAGGTGGCATCTGGGCAAAGTGATGATGGGGAAGGACACATGGGGGAAGGCACAGGCATTGAGGTGGCAGTGAATAAGAGGTTGCCATCTGGAGTTAGCCTTTAGGTACAGTGTTCAATAATGAGAGATTTCCTTGTAGAATCCAGAAAGTTTGCTTTTCTTGAAGATTGAAGGCTGGATACATGGGACCTGTATATATAATACTGAGTTAGGGTTGGGTGAAGGTTGCCTGTCGAAGACAGTGGGACAATGCACAAGGTTTCGTGACGGTTCCTTCCTCCCAGCCCCATTGTGATCTTGACACCTCTAGGATGAGGTATGGATGCTGCATGACAGGCAGATGTCGCCCCTTGTTCTGTGGACCTAATGGTGATTTTCGGTGCACCTTGTTGAGGATTGAGTCCTCAGCAGCTGGTGCATATATGTGGAGGGGGTTCTGGAACACTGATGGAACCCGGGGTCAGGGGTCACCCAGTCTAGGAGGGACCGTGGAGGCTGGGAATTGGCAAGAATGTTTGCCTGATGGCTCTAGGACCTCTGCCCCAGGAATGCGGGGCAGGGGCAGTCCTAAGTCTTGCTGCCTCTCAGTTGTCCAGGTGGATGGTGAGAACTCTGCTGGGCAGACGGGGCTTTTCCTCTCAGCACTGTTGGGCCACAGCTCTGCCGTGCGGCTTCTCTTGGCCTTTGGCGCCAACCCCAACCAGTGAGTGGACAGGCCAAGATGCCCCCACACACCCAGGGTCCTGAGCCTGAAAGCCAGGACTCCTCTTCTATCCCTTGGTGATCCCCTGGTCCTCTGGGGTAGCCCTTTCTCATCCCTGCTGCTTCCCATGCTCACAGTGGTCCTCCTCTCAGCCCCCCAAAGACCCAATGGCATCCTCAAGTAACCCTTCCCATTCTGGTACCCACTTCCCTTGTTCACAGTGACGCCTCCATCCCCCAAGTCCATCTTCCTGCCACTTTTTGCCCCTGTTCCATCCCTTTCCTAATCTATTCCCACCCTTGTTCTGCCCTAGCCGCTGCCGTGATGGCAGCACACCAGTGCATGCGGGCGCCTTCTCAGGCTGTGGCCTGGTGATGCTGCACCTGCTGCAGGCAGGGGGTGACCTGCGCCTGCATGACCAGCAGGGTCGCACACCACGAGACTGGGCTGAGCAGGGGGGTACCAAACCAAGCTGGGAGGTAAGCAGTGGCGTTGGTGCAGGTGGGGACGTCAGGGCCAGCACTGTACCCAGCCTCACCCACGTGTCCCCAACCAGATGCTGGAGCTGTTGCAACTGTGTCGTGCCCATATGTCAGCACTACTGCATGGTGCTGACCTGGCACCTACTACTTCCCTGGGCCAACTGCAGGCCAGCTCCGGGAATAGCATGTGTGGCTCCCTGTCCTCTCTGTGGCTGGTACAGACAGACAGGTAATGTTCTGCACCCTGGAGAGCTCACCCACCCACCATGCTCAGTTACTCCAGATTCACCCGAAGCCCACCCTTTACTCCAGAACACTGAAGCCAGAGCAGATTAGGAGATCCCCTCAAATCCCAGCTTTGGGGTTTGGCCAGGTAAGTGGGAGGTATTGGGGGAGCGTGGACCACCCTTGTCTTCTTTGTGTCTCATGGTCCTGCTCTCCGTCCCCAGCTGAGCAGCCTGCAGCCGCTGGGGCTGGTCACAGGCATACCCCTGGTGGACCCCAAGGAGCTGCTACCAGCCCAGGGCGAACCTGACCGCACCTACGAGAGCACTTCCCATACCCTCATGGTCAAGTGAGAGCTCCCTCTTGTGTTCTTGCAGCGCCCCCTGCTCCCTGTCCCCCTCACAAGGAAATCCTGCTCCCATGTCTCAGACCTGCCCTCTGCTGCTCGCCATTCTCTAGCCTCCTGTGGAGGAGCCACCCTGTGGCTGTGCGGCGGCTGAAGGTCCCAGGAGCCCACCCTGATGTGCTGCTGGCTGACCTTCAGCACTGCAGGTATCCTGTCCCAGCCTCCCCGCTGCCCAGCCTGCTCCCTGCGCCAGTGTCCACCTGCCCTCCCAACTTCAGCACTCCATTACCCCACGACAGGGCAGTGTGGCGATAGCCATGGTTAGTCTTCACCTCTGGGTGGAACGCAGCATGGAGCCTTCGAGCTGGAGTGATTCCCCTTCCACTGGAAAGTGGATGCCCAGTTCTTTGTGCTGTGTCCCGTGGGCCTCGGAGAGGAGGTGGGCATAGGGAGGGGTAAATGGATGAGGAGTATGGGCTCAGTGCTGGTTCTGACACCACAGGGCTGTGCGACCAGGGTCTCAGGTTTCCCTCTAGCTGGTGGCTGGTGCAAGTGGCCTGCCCCTGGCACAGGGTGGGTGGTGTGTGCTCAGGAACAGAATCCACCCTGTGCAGGTTGGGCCTGCTTGTGAGTGGCCCGCTCTCCTCCCCGCCCAGCACCCTGCACCACCCCAACCTGCTGCTGCTGATGGCACTGAGCCCCTCGGTGGACCTGTCGGGGCTGTGCCTCCTCTTTGAGCCTGTGTGGCTGGGCTCCCTGCACGTGGTGCTGCACTCACAGAGACCAAGTGAGGAGGGTCCCCAAACCGTGCCAGGCTTGCTGCCCGGCCACCTGCTGCTGCAGGTGTTGGAGGCCCTGCTCTTCCTGCAGGCCCGCTGGCGGGCCCACGGTGGACTCACCTCCCATGCCGTGCAGCTGGTGCGGCCAGGCCTGGCTAAGGTGGGCAACCTGGAGCATGGGCGCCCACTGCATCAATGCCGGCTGCGACCCAGGTGAGTGCTTTCGCCACCCGCCTGCCCTGTGAGCCTCCCAGTGGCCACGGCCTCATCAGGCCCCTTGGGCTCCACAGGCTACAGCAGGGCTACCCTTGGGGGAACCAAGGGCTGCCACCACCCCCTGAACTGTACCCATGGCTGCCACTTGAGCTGATCCACGGTGACATGCCTGCCACCACCTCAGATCTCTACAGTTTCTGCATCCTGGCTCAGGAGGTTTTCACTGGTCAGTGAGTGACCACCCTATACCCTGGCCCATTGAGGCATCCCACCTGGTTGGGTTCCCTGATTGTACTTCCTCATAGGAGAGCTGCCCTGGGCTGGGAGAGAGGGGCCTGAGGTGAAGGCTAAGCTGGAGGCAGGTGAGAGCCCAACTCTGGACCCCATGGTACCAGCCCCCTACCAGGCCCTGGTTCAGGCTGGGCTGGGTCTAGGGCCTGCTGACCGCTGGGGAAGCTTGCAGAGTACTCGATACCTGCTGCGGGAGGCCATGGCCCAGGTACAGGAAGGTCAGCAGGGGTTGGGGGTAGTCATGGAATCCCAGGCAGGTTTTTGTCCCCCACAACACGCCTCCTTTCCACAGGACTCATCCCCTGAGGTTGGTTCCACATTGGAGTGGACCACACTGTCCCCTCTACTGCAGGGTTCCCCACCAGGTTAGAGGGAAGGAAGGGTGGTGGTGGTGCTGGGCATAGGGATCTGTGCCTCCCAGTTACAACAGTTGCTCTGTCTCCCCAGAGAAACTGTTCTATGAGGTAGCTTCCAGAGTCAAGACCAGACCCAGGCCTGTGCCAACAGGCCCCGTCCCATCCCAGGTAGGGGCCGGGGAATGGAGGTGGGGGACCAAGGCAGGTGTGGGACACCTGGGTGACCCATGCCCACTGTGCAATTGTTCTCTGCAGGCCCTGGAGACTCCTGAGGCCACAGGCCACAGTAGAGTGCAGAGGAGTACAACCTTGGACTCTGGCAGCAGCTTGACTCTCAGCAGCAGCCCCAGCTGCAGCCCTAGCCCCAGAGCCAGGGGCCACCTGCACTGCTGTCTGGAACCTAGCTCCATAGTATGGTCACCCCAGAGCCCTTGCTAGCCCAATCCCTCCTGCCCAGTAGCCCCCTGGCCCCCCTCTCCTCTGACCAGTGAACCTCCCCACCAGGGACCCTGAACCTGTTACCCCTGACCAACCTGCTTCCCTCAGGGCCCTGCCCTGCCCTCCAGCTTCCAGGAATCGGCCTCCCTGCTGGGGACCCAGAGCTCTGAGGAGCAGTTTGAGAGGAAGTTCTCAGTCAAGATTCAAGCCCTGCAGGGGCTGCTGCAGCACCCATACAGGGTTGCCCCGCTGGACCCCCGGCCCTGTGAGCCCACCCCTGCCTGGTGACCCACAGGGAGGCTTCCACACCTTGGGAGGCTGCTGGCAGGGAAGGCCATGAGGGCAAGCAAAGTGGAGGACCCTGAGCCCACCCACTGTGCGCCTTCCGTTCTTCCAGGCCCGCTGGAGCTGCGAGACCCCCAGGGGCAGCTCAAGCCTTTTTCCCTGCAGGCACCTGGCACTGAACTGATCGCAGAAGGGCTCTTCTCCAGCCTGCAGCAGTGAGAAATGGAGCCCCCGTGGGGGGACCCTGGGCTCCTCCCTCATCCCTGAGGTGACTATGGGTCTCTCCCTGCCCCACTGCTCCCCAGGATGGACCTTCTGGAGGAGATCATGGCAGAGCTGCAGAGTGGATGCCAACTGGAAGAAGAGCCCAGCCTCAGCCTCACCCCTGGCACAGATTGCTAAGGCGCCAATGTCCTCTCCCTGAGGATATCACCCCCCTGCAGCCTTCCAGTAGAGAATGACACCCCCTCAAGTGCCTAGAGGAAAGAAAATGAAGATAAAGCAACCCCCAACCCTATGTCTTTTTCATTTGCCAAGTCTGGCCCCAGCATGACACAACAGCCACATTTTCACCATTTTTATTCATTAATTTTGTCAGATGGTTTAGTGGGGCACACGAGGAAAGGAGGCAGGAGTTGTCCCCCTACCCCCTGTGCACAATCAGGACAGGCAGGAGGCTCCCAGAGGAGGAGAGAGAACAGGGTGTCGGCCTAGCCCTCCCTTGGATTTGTGCGAGAGCCCCAGAAGGGGGATGGTGGGGAGATAGGCACCCTTCAGCCAGGGTGGACACTGATTTGAGGGACCATCAGAAGCAAGTTACAAAGTTAGAAACCGGGGGTAGGGCTCAGGAACTCAAGTAAATACAAAATGAGGGATTGGGCTGGGCTGAGTCACTGAGGGCGAAGGAGGGGAATAAGGTCCTTGTCAGCTCTGGCTCAGCAGTAGCTTCGGGTCTGGCCCTCAGAATGGAGAGACCAGCTAGGCGTGGGGTAAGGGGGTGGGGGACCAGCCCCCTCCCCTCTCTGACCCCCATTTCTATACAGAGACCCTCGGTGGTGCTCACCCCCTCTCCCATAGGCTGGCGGGGCTGCCCTGTAGAGCAGGAGAGGCTCTGGAGGGCCCCAGGGGCCAGGTACCCTGTGAGGGGTACGGGGACCCCAAGGTGCCCGCTGCTTCTGGGGAAGGCGGGGGGCTGGGGGTCCGGGATCTGAACGACTTCGGGGGTGGGCCGGAGGGGAAGAGGAGGAACAGGAAGAGGCAGGTGAAGGACCCCTGGGCCCTAGGGCTAGGTTGACATAGAGGGGCTCAGGCCGGGTGGGACGTCGGGCAGAGTGCTGTGGGGCTGAGTAGCCAAGATGGTCAGGGGGAAAGCAGGAGGGGGGTGGGGGGTAGCTGACCAGGAAGTCAGGGGACCTGTGGAGTGGTGGTGACTGGCCAAGCATGCCATATGAGGCATTGAGCCTATCAGGGGGCATGGAGCGAAAGGGACTCCAGGACTGGGTAGGGCCCGCGTAGGAGGACCCCTCGCTTGCCCCAATCTCATAGTACAGGTTCTCTCCCCTGTCTGGAGGGCCCAAGGAATTCCTCCAGACTGGGGCTGGGGAACTGGGCTGGAAGGATGAGGGGCCCAGGGGATACAGGCCTGGTTTGGGGGCCCCAAGGAATGGTGGCAAGCACTCCCGGGGGGCTGGGGAAAAGAAGCCAGGAGTAGGAATCTGTGAGGGGACAGAACATGGGGACTGAGCTGCCATCTCTGGGGCATCTCTGCACCCCCCACCTGCCCTGAGCTGGGCACTGACCTGTGCTGGGCCTCTGAGTCCCCTCCTTGAGGTCCCCATGGGCCGCTGGCTCCTCACCAGGCTCCCATCACTTTGTTGTCTTGGTAGGTAGGATGGGGGTCCTGGGGCCCAGGCACCCGAGTGCGCCAGGGAGTGAGGGGGGGGCCCACTCCCTGAGATCCCCACGGGCTCCCCGCCTACTTCCAGGGACAGTGAGCGGCGGAAAGGGGAACGGGGAACAGATGGTGTGCCCCCATGCTCCTGTTGGCTCTGTCGCTCGGCCACCTGCTGAGCCCGCTCAGCCAGGGCCAGAGCCATGAGGCGTGCTGGGTTCTTGGGGGGTGGAGGTGGGGCCCCCCCAGGGCGCAGGAGGGTCAGGGGTGGGGGTAGCAATGGTGAATCCATACCAGGACCTACAGAGAAAGGAATGGGAAGGAAGTCAGCTGTGTTCTGGGACAACCTCAGGGTCTATGAGAGTTATGAGATGGACCAAGCAGGACTCACCATGCTGGCCCTGGGTTCCCCGGGGACTAGGCAGTGCCAGCTTGCTGCTGATCTCCTGTTGACAGGTGTCACTCAGTTGGGTCTCGGCTCCACGCAGCAGCAGGGGGATAAGATGGGGGCGCAGGCCCGGGCCAGGGCTGAGTGCTGGTGTTGGGGTGGCTGAGGCAGGTGTTCCCCCAGCCCCCAGCAGTTCTAGGACAGCAGGTGGCACTGATACAGCCAGGGGCTCTGAGATGTCCAGGGCAGTGGGTGAAGCAGGACTGGTGGGCCCCCGAGGTGAGAGAGCCTGGGGCGTCACCCTAGGTGGGAAGGCAGAGGCAGAGGCCGGGGGTGCTGGGCTGGCAGGAGGTGCAGGGTCCCCTGGGGTGGGGCTGCTGCAGCGAAATGTAAGGGGATCAAAGTCAAGCCCCCGCAGTCCCTCCAGGCAGCGTGGTGGGCTGAAGTCCAGTTCATCACCATCATCTAGCCAGGCTGAGGTGCGGTGTGAAGGGGACCCAGAGTGTGGCCCCAGGCCAGCTGCTGAGGACTTGGAGGAGGAAGAGGAGGAAGAAGAGGAAGAGGAGGAAGAGGAAGAAGACGAGGAGGACAGGCTCTCGCAGGAACCAGCAGGTGCTGGGCCCACAGGGAAGGCGTCACTGCTGGAGTGGGGTCGCCGTAGCCTGTGCAGCCTCTGGAGGCCTGGAAGGGGCACAGTTAGAGACCAGACGTCAGAGCAAACAGGACACAGGTCCACAGAAAGGCAGGAAGCAACACAAGAGGCACTTCCCTAGAGAGGGCCAACTAGGCCATGGATTTAGGAAGAATTGTTCAGGCAAGACCACGAAGAGACCATTCCAGATCCCAAACAAGAATGGAGTCTTGCTGCCCCAGGGTCTGTGAGCTGCTGGGTGTCCAGATGGGACTGTTTGGGGAAAGCAAGTCACCCTTGTTCTGTAATTTAAATGTGTGCAGACCCTACAGTAGAGCACCTCTACTCCTGGGAATGTGGCACAGCAAACTATGACAGGGATTCCTCACCCTGGGGATTTAGGATGGGACACCACCCCAGAATAGAAAGCAATGGGCTGAATCTGGGCTATGCTCAGCAACATGGATGGCAGTTCGTAATGGAGCTGTGAATGAAAAATTCATTCTGTAGACAGCATGATACCTCCTCGCTCCTTTCTTAACATTTCCTGTAAATAGCATCAGAACTGAGCAATATGTTCTTTACACATATACTTGTATGTGATAAAACCTTTAAGCAAGTTCATGATCAGCATCAAATTTAGAGGATGGGGGAGAGGGAAGGGGCTCCTGGGCAAGATACTAGGGCTCTTCTAGCTGTGCTTAGGGAGTTGGTGGGTATTCATAATATTTAAATTTTTTGAAAAGGAATGCATAAACAAAAGACTGTTTTAAAGGAACCTGGATGAGCCAGGAGGCAGAGTGTATAGTGGATTTTAGCCAACTCATTGTACCTAAAGTTCAGATTTTAAAAATTTAAACATTCAAGAATCCTCCCAAATCTGAAATATAACTTTTGGGGACAAAACCGGGGCTTCAGTTCCCCTATGATGCTTGGGCACATGTAGGGCCTACTGCTCACCAGCACCGCTGGCCTGGGATGACAGAGACTCTTCACTCTTGGCAGATCTCAGTGTGACTGTGTCGGGTCTACTGCCTGTGAGGAGAGGTAGGAGAGGTAGGAGGGCCTCCACACACCATCCCCCCACCCCCTGTGCCAACTGCACAGCCACAGCCACTGACCTGAAGGCTGCGGTGGAGCTCTGGTACCCCCTAGCCAAGGCAGGGGCTTCTTTCGGGGGACACTGGGGCCCCGGCCTAGAGCAAAGAATGTCTTCCAGCTGCTACCCCCTGGCTTCCGCTGTTTCTCACCTCTGTCCCTTTTCCTCCTGGGGTTTGGGTGAGAAACAAAAGGCAATCTGAGTCACGGTGCACCTCCAGTCCTCCTCCCCGTTTACCCAAAATCCCATTCACCTTTCCACAGGTGAGGCGGGGGCCTTGGGAGCTGTGGGCTCAGTGGGTGTTCCCAGCCGACCCTGGGTGCGAGCCTGAGCTTCCTCCAGTGTCAGCAGGCGAGTGGAAGGGCCACTGCCCGCAAGAGACTTGGGCCTGGGGAGGAGGCAGCGGCCTGGGGAGGTCAGAAAGGGGGAAACTATCAGCTTTGGGGTCACTTAAGGCTATAGGCAAAGCCAAGCGCCACAGCCCAAGCCCCAGCCCGCAGCATGCCCACCCGGGCTGGCAAGGCAGGGGGCCAGGGTGGATCAGGCGGGAATGGGGATGGGGCAGCAGGCAGGCGAGGAGGAGAGGTGAGGCAGAATGAGCTGATGAGAAGGCAGCTCCCAGCAGCCAGCAAGGGCAGCGGCTCTGGTCAGTTACCTCGGGCCAGAGGGCCCTCCGACGAGCTGAATCCTGACTGGGCTGGGGTCCCGGGCAGGGCAGGGAGTCTGGGCAGGGCCCAGGCAGGGTCAAATCTGGGGACCTCCCACTTCCTCCCAGGTAGACCCATGGCCCCAAGTGCCCCCAGGAGCTATAAGGGGTGAAAGAAGAACGGCGTCCTGGCCAAGAAGTGGGGATCCTGAGCGTAGGAGCTGAAATGAGAAGGAGGGGGCGGGGGGGGGCAGGGAGAGGGATGGGCCGGGCGGGGTCCTCAAGGAGTTGGGAGGGAGGTCCGGCTTCAGTGGGGTAGGGATAGGGCTGGAGCCCACCTGCCCTCCCACTGCTGCCCTGACGTTGGGTGGGCAGTAGCCAAGACATCAGAGGGTAGGATGGGCATACCTGCAGGGTCAAGGCCAGCAGAGGTGAAGGTGTCACTGAACAGGACCTCCACATGGGTGAGCAGGAATTCCACCACCACAGACTGTACCCGAACCTCCCGGAAGGCTGCTGCTCCACCCAGCCCCACTGACTCCAGCTCCATGGACCTGGGAGAAGAGAAGGGGGCAGGCACCTAAAGCCTGGGCTGGCAGGTTCTGGGTGGGCAGTGTGGGGAACCAATGAAGTAATGACTGTCTGTTCAACACCTCAGACTTTCCTGAACTAATCACATGTGAAACTGAGTGCCCAGCCTTTCCCCAAGCTTCCCTACTTGGCCCCTCTCTTTCCTTCATACCCACATCCAATCTGTCAGCAAAACCTGTTGGTTTCACCTATAAAATCTACCCAGAATCTAACTCTTCTCCTCTCTACTATACCCTGGCTGCTATGGTTTGGATCACAAATGTCCCCCATA